CCAAAAGTTCCATTCCCCCTTTTTTTTTTTTTTTTCAGTTCCTATTCAAAGACAGTGGCTGGGGCCCAAGATATGCTCTAGAGCTAGTAATTAATTTTTTTGCCATTCTTCCTATTAAAAAAAGAAAGAAATCCTCACACAATACAGGCACAGTTAGTTTTCGAAACATGATCCAGAAGGTAAAACTGCTATTCAGGGAGGTAGGTTCATTTCCCCATTCAGTGGCCCAGTCTCTCAGTTATTTTCAATGTCCTGTTTGAAAGTGAAGATAAGAGTATTTCCCTTTTTCTCAAGGATTAATAAACAAAAATAGCACAAGGCTATTGTATGTAGTCATAATAGGAACATTATATGAAACAGACAAATCTCCTAAATAAAAGTTATTAAAGAATACAGAGCTCTTGTGTGCTTTTAAATACATGCTGTATCTCCCAATTGTCCATTTCTTGGACAACCTGCAACTGTATCCGTTGTTCCCACTGTCCCAACACCACATCCTCCTACCTGCTGCCTCTTTTAAGTTGCTGGCTCCATGTCTCCTGGCTCCTCTCAGCTGCTTTCTGTGGGTCCTGCTGCTATTCCAACAGTGGAGGTGCATCTCAACACCCAGTGCTCAGACACGGTGAGGCATCAGAGCCCCAAAGCTGGCTAGAAAGGCACCTGCTGGGGCATTGCCCGCCTCTCCACACTGCAGAGGGAGGAGCTGCCTTGGAGATGAAAGGCAGTAGCTCCACCTCTGTATCCCTTAGCTTCATGCCCTAATGCTGCTAAGCCTTCCTACAGGGACTGCCAGTTCCTCTGCTACCTGTCAGGCTCTGAAGTGCTGTCCTGAACAGATGGGAAGAAGCCAGCCTCCCTTCACCCTACCCATTAGCTTCTTGGATAAAGGACAGAAAAGAGAAGGACCTACAGGTTTGTTTAGCATTTGGGACCTGGGGCTCCCTATGCAAATATTAGCTGTCAATCCTTTTTTTATTTCTGTCCCCAGAAGCTGCAGAACAGCGCTAAAAAGGATGAGCTGGGTGCACTCTGAAGTCTTGAAACCATAAGTCAAATAACATCTGGAATGTTTTTATATTGTGATTTTCAGGTCTATTTCATTACATATGGAAAGCTGACCTGTGGTATTAATAACTGTGCCTACAGCAAGCATTTACTGTGTTCTTATGGAAACTGAATTGTTAAGGAGTCATCTGAACATGCAGTCATTACTGCACTTTGATCATGCTGTATTCCTCCATATCTTCTCCGGGGCATCTAACTGGTTGAAATATTTGTGAGAAGGAACCTCCTTCCACAAGCATCTGCAAAATCACCAGTTTCATTAACCAGGCTTACTAAACTAGCATTTCATGACTTGAGTTGGACTTCTGCCTTGACATTGCAATTACTATTATGGAACAATGATGTATATTGGTATATATTGATATATTTATAGATATCAATGATATATTGATATAGAGACCCTAAACTCCATCTCTCTCCCACATTAACTCTTTTGATAAATAAGGTTTTCTCTGAATTCGTATTATGAATGAGATGGATCGGATGAACGAAGAATACTGAAGCCCTGTTAAACCCAAGTCCAAAACTAACATTTTCTTTTAAATTAAATACGTGATTAATAAGTTCCTGAATTATTTTCAGTGTATATAGCAGTGAACAGCCATGTGAGTTATACCAAAGCTGACTGTTGCTGCTTCTCTGAACCTGTTTCAAGGAAGGTGTCAGATATGGCTGGTTTGCTGCAGCTGTTCAAAGGTACTGCTGAGAGGAACCACGAGAGGGCAGTGGAAAGAAATCAAGCCAAAAAATGTCCTGTCAGTCCTGGGAACCTGCAGCCTAGGGCACATCAGGAGCTCGGCTCCCTGCCAGTGGCAAGAACAAATAAAGGTCCAAGAGGACACACAGTTCATTTCTGTATAAAAGTGAAAGCAACACTGAGAGGTCTTCCAGTCCAGGTTCAGAGGTCTGAAGTCTGTCAAGGGAGCCGAGAAAAGGCCAGTAGTACCCAGAGAATGTGCTGGGGCATCAGGAGGAACAGAGAGGGACAGCACTAAGTGGGGCTGAGAATTACACAAAGGCACACAATTGACCACCTAACTCACACATTCCCACTCCACACAAAGGCTACAGAGAGAAAGGGAGATGACAGGGGTTGTATAAAGCAACTAGCCTTTTCCTAGAAAACATCCCCAATATGCATTTGATTTCACAAAGGCTGTCTTGGTGAAGAGAGATACACTGGTTTTACCCAGTTTCCAGAGTAGGTAAGCAATAAGAAAAGAAAAACTATGTATATTTATCTCGAAACAATTACAAGCTCAATACATTTGAGAAGGAATTTGAGGAGGTCAGTATTTCATGTTGCACTGCAATACACTTGTGTTTATGTAAAAATCAACTCCCCTGAACTATGGTTTTCATGTGTTGAACACAATAAACCACACAGAACGCCTGGATCCATCTTCTGATCTTATTTCATCTTTCGAAATTAACTGGTGTTAACATTTTTCTATATAACAAATACAGCTTGTAAAAAAAAAAAAGTTTGTTCTTGCCTTTTTGATTCCAGAGTTATATCTGGGAATGGATTTCAGTTTTTCATTGATCTTTTAAGAGACTGGCAGACAGCTGTGTGCTTGCCCCTATGACATCAAACAGCATGGACAAGATCAGTGCAGTCATTAGAATCTGACTTCTGGTCTGCCAGCAAATGCTTCATTCCCTCTGTCAGTCCAGTCTAGATCATTCTATACATGGACCTATATTGTAAATACAGATGATCACTGAACAAACTTGACCAGTGAGCCTGATATTTGTTATTGACTTGCTCCTTGGCTCTGGCCAGCTCCAACTAGCTCTTTCCAAAACCATGCTCAAGAGCAGTTCAAAGGACAACTCACTTCAGTAACTTTGTGCAAACAAAAGCAGTATTAATGGCACTGCTCCTTCCATTCCACAGCATTTCCTATATGCCTCATTTGATTGATGGCATAAATCAAAATCACACTTTTAAAATATCCCAGGAGTGGGCTGCCACAGTGCTCAGGCATTATTTTAAATTTTTTAAACTGAAAACAGTTAATTATCTACCAAGTTAATTATCAAAATAATAGTAATAAGAATGACATGGAGGAAGGCATATGGGACAAAGAGGAACAAATGCAATTTTGTTTAGAGCCTCTGAAGCTCACTGTGGTCATATAGGAACTGCAGGATTTGGCCCTCCAGGGTGATCACTGTTATTACTTTGATTATAGTAGCATAGGGCAACACCACAGACTGGAACCTGTCTGCTCCTGATGTGAGTCCCCTGGCCTGAAGAGCTTACAGTCTAAATAAGACCAGGTAGACAAGTGGAGTGAGAAAGAAAGTACTTTTATTAGGCCCAAGAGAGATTAAGAAACTAGCCCAAGGACACATACAAAGCCTTTGACAGATCCAGGGCTTAACCTAGATTTTCAGTATGGCGCCTTGGTCATAAACACTTCGCCTATCTTCTGCTCCACTTGTGAATGCCTCTTCAGCTGAGATTTAAACAGACTACATCTCAGTAAAACATCACCAGAAACATCCTGTTATACCATGTTTATTTTGACAGCTTTTGCATAGAGAACACTTTCTATTGACAAAGTCCTAAGCACACAGGTGGAGAAACAAAATTTGGGAGCAGGTGAAACCCTTGAGTTAAAGCATAGGCTATTGCTTCACAAGACTCTGTACAGCATGGAAAGCCTCAATGTGTTTGCTCCAGCTTTAGTCTCACACAGAGTTTTAAACTATCCAGCTATGTAATTCCCCCTATCCAGCAAAATATTCCTCCTTTTCTGGGGGGTCATAATGGAACATATGGAACATATGGAACAGAAATTAATCAAAGAAAGAAAAGTAATACCAAATTATGGAAGAAAGAAATCGCCAAACTTAACTCAGTCCAGGTTCATATGCTGCAGAAAACTAAGACAAGTTTAAGATGTAAGTCAGTGTTGACACATAATGTTTAACCATGCCCATCATAAAATGCACTTAACTGAAATAAAAAATACACAGTACAAAAATCCACTTGACAGAACTGTTACTCATTAACATTCCTTTTACATCTTACACGAAAGAATTTCTTGTGAAAAGTGCCACTTGCGAATCTGAGAGGGCACTGCCTTTCACTTCACAAGATACCGAGTCTCACCTGGGGGAAGAAATTATAACCTTTAATGATAAACGGCTCATTTTCCTTCATAAATGCTATTAATTCCTCGACCTTTGCTCTCACTATTTACACAAATACCTTTGATGATTTCACACATGGGAGATACGGGCTAGAAGCAAGGTCGAGATTGCCCTATATCTTCATACGGCACAGGGCATTCAATTAAGTCGCTTGCATCAGTCTTGTGAATAGCCTTTCAGTCAGGTGAGTGCCTGGCTTGGTTTCCAAAAGCTGCCCCGCTCGGCTCTGGGATCTGCTCGAGAACCACAGACCCGCCACGTTTCCCTGCAAGGTCCGGCGCAACTTCCCCGTCGCCGTGTTCTCCTGGGTACCGGTGTTTAGCCCACACCCCCCGCCAGCGGCACGGCGAAGAACAGAAGCGGCCTCCTCCTCCTCCCGGGGGAAGGAGAGGTGCCACGGGAAGCCGCAGCCGTGACTCAGAGCCGTCTCTGTCACAACACGCGTTTCCCAAACGTCCAGATGCTTCAGAAGCCCGGCTCGGGCGGACCCGCAGCCGCCGGCGCTGGCAGGAGGCACTGGGGCTCCCCGGTGTCCCGGCAGGACCACCGCTTCCCGACGGGAGCGCAGCCCTCCGTGCCGCGCAGCACCGGCGCCCCTGCAGCGCCCTGCCTGGCGCAGACCTTTCGCGGGGGGCACCCTCCCTTCCACCGCCCCTATTCCCACTCTTCACGTCGGAGCTGGAGCCGCGCCCCCCGCAGACCCCTCTCCGCGCCTCCAGCTCCGCTCGGGCGCGACGGGCATGGACGGGGCGGGGTCGCAACCCGGTTACCTGACTCTGTCCTTCTCAGCCCGCCGGAGCTCCGCGTCCCTCTGCAGCACCTGGAAAATCGCCCTGGCTTCCTCCTCGTTCAGAAAACTGAGATCTGGCCCCTGGGGCGCTGCGGTCATGGCTTTGCTTATCGGCGGGCGGGCGGGCGGCGGCGGGCGGGCAGCGGTGACCCCCGCGGAGCGCGGGGCCGCACCAGCATGGCCGAGCCCCGGCAGGACCGCACACGCCGGCACCCGCCGGGCGCGCTTCCCCCCCGGACGGCGGGAGCGGCGGCCGCTCGGTACCGCCCCGGCGCGGATGGGCAACACCCTCCGGAGCCACCGCAGCGCAGCCCGGTGGGGCGGGGCGGGGAGGGGCAGGGCAGGGTAGGGCAGGGAGGCGAGATGGTATCGCTGTCGGGGCCGGTGCTGGACGTGGAACGGGAGTTGGAGTCGCTGGTCGCCCCGTGTCCGTGTCGTTCAGCGGGCGGCCCAAGTTGAGTCGGGTGTAGCGCTGTGCGGTCGGCACGGTGTTTGCCCTGCCGCTGCCGCCCGGCGTGCCCGCTGCAGGCGGGTGCCGTTCCCCCCCGTGGCGGTCACACCGGGCAGCCTCGCCAAGCCTGTTCCCTGCTCCCCGGGCACCGGAGAGCAGCACCCCGGACGCCCCTCCGCTGCAGAAAGGACCTGTCCATAGTCTTGCGGAGTGGATACAAAGAGGCAGCTTTTCCACGAGGAAAGAACGGGGCAGTGTTTCCAATTTACTCTCCTTTAAGGTTTTCCCGAGAAAATAGTAGAGAACATAAGTTCTTGACCTGGGCGTTATAGTCCCATCTGGGAAGTAATTTCATTCTGATTCCATTCTAAAGGCTCTAATGCAGCTCAGCTTTGTGCTGTTGGGAGCACCACACACTGCCGTGTCTCCCCAAAGTATGTGTCTATCTAGTATGCTGCACTAGTTGAATAGTTTGTAAAATGTCCTTTGAAACTTTTCCATCGAAGAAGGGCTTTATTCAGGACTGAACTGCAAACGGAAAAAGAAAATTGTGGTGAAAGAAAACACAACTTTTGTTATGGCAAAGCACATCAGTGGAAACCAGCTCAGTGTGCAATGAGAGTGGGGCTAAGGTGCATGCAGCCACCTTCCCACCCTGCAGCAGGCTGATGTGGGGCTGTGGGAGAATGCTTCCCCACTAGGAAGTTGAGTGGTGCAAGTGGAAATAAGGACCTTAGAGCACAGTGGGAATAACAGGTTGCAGGAGGCTTCTTGTTTTGGTGTAGCTTCTGGCATCACTAGTCTGGTCCAAAGAGGAACTTATGTGATTCCTGGTGACCAAACAACAAAAACAAGGCTATGAGAACAATTGATGCAAATGTAATGAAAACTATGAAGAATTATGATGTGAAGAGGAGGTGTCTCCCACAGAAAAAAAGACAGTGAATTTTTAATAGTGCATAGGAGATGCTTCTGGGCAAAGTCCAAGCATGTTGTTTCTAAAGGTGCAAGAGCCACAACTGTCCCTGGTCCACTAAGAGAACTTCTCTCTAAGGGTAAACGTCCTGTCCTCCCCATTCTGTTGTGGTGAGCATAACAGAGTGACTGTTTCACCAGCAGAAGCTGAGTGTATGGAGTTCTCCTGGGGACTCTACCAGGCAGTGATTTAGACATCACTCTGCCTTTCTGACTGGCGCATGCAGGATATGGGAAGCAGTCCCATCATGCTGGATCTGCTCCCAGAGCTGAGGGGCAATGTGATAACATTTTTTTTCTCTACTTTCCTTGCAGTAAAACTCATCGGTGCCCACACTTACCTTAAAAACAACATCTTATTGATGAAGTTGTGCTTTTTTTTTTAATTTCTTGTGCAAACATCTAAGATGTCCCTGCTTGATGCAACAGACTGGACTACATGACCTTTAAAAGCCCCTTCCAAACCTAAAAAAATCTATGATTCTAGGATGAAAAATATATACGTACAGACAGAATATATAGGAAGGATGTGCATTTTCTTTCTAGTTTGCAAAGGAAGTTATTTATTACAGTTCTTAAAAATAAAGGGTGTCATTCACCCATAAATTTGGTGACTATCTATAATTGTATTTATCCTGCATGTAGGTCAAGAATGGAATTGTATTTCTAAATCTCTGTCATCCTTTTCCTTAATTTCTAACAATCTGATTAATTGGTTCTTTTTTCTCCACCATCAAAATGTCTGTTATTTTTAGTGCAGAGAAAATCAGGGGCAAGACGTTAATTTCATGTATAATCAATGTATAGTCTTTCAGGTATTAAGAACGAAATCAGTTTTTCATTCCATATGAAGCAGCAGAATGGTTTAGAAGAGTGACAAGTACATAGACTAGCAGCTTTGGAGAGATGCTACCAGACATCATGGCAGTTATAATTTCAATGACTTTTATCCAGAATATTTAGAGATTTGGGTGCAGCCATCTTGTATGGTAAGAAGACCTTCATTTTCCATCTTGTATGGTAAGAAAACCTTCGTTTTACACAGCATCTTTGGTATGTCATATCAGCATTATAAAATGTGTGTTGGACTGTAACTAGAAAGAGCTGCTATCTGTGGAGTCTTCTACCAGAAATTTATTTTGTGAAGAATAACTGCTTTTCCAAATGTCCCTTCATTACTCCATCTCACTTTAAAGTTTATGTGTTTTATATGGATCATGATGGCAAGAAAACACTGCCTGTATTCCAGTACTGAGTCTCTAGTGCCTTATGTGCTTTAATTTCTGTTGCATAAACCTTAGATAAGATACATGCTCTAAATTTTTTTCCATGTTTTTTAGTTATCAGCTGTTCCAGGAAGATACAGAAGTGTTTTCCTGTAAATAAGTAGCATTTCTTGTGTTTAAGAACCTGAAACAGAGGACCAAAATAGCATAGGAGAGGCTGCAGACATGAGACGTCATTAGTAATGTTAATTGCCAATGCCACTAAAGAGGATGCTGACACACATACCTTAATTATAGGGCAAAAGCTTCAAAAATTGCATTTTACAAATACTGCTGTACTAAAGGGTGTGTTAATTCTACTTACTCTCAGTGGAGGAATTCAAAGTGTAGGACTCCAGAAAGCCAGAGGGACTGTTTCTAAAAGTTGATGTGTAACTAGTGAATTGAGGGGAACGCGCAGGAGGGTTGCTTAAATCTTGTAGCAATTGGCCTTGAGGCTCATATCAGCCTTGAGTCTTGGAAGAACTGTAAGGTCTTGTCTGTTCCTGTTCAACTAATTACTGTGTAAATTGTCACACAGATTAGTGAAGGCTAGTTTAATTAACTCCCTGCGTTAAGTAAGAATGGCCTCATGACAAGGCAAAGAATAAATATGAAGCGTCTTTCATTTAAAATGTATTAAATCTGCTTATTGTGTTTGAAACAAATATTTCTAACACTATCCTAGGTCAAAAATAGTTGTATCACATTACTTGTAAAGACAAAAGCAATGTCTCTTCTCTGTTTAAGAGGCCCATTGTTTATATCTCAGTTTATTCCAATAGTCATGATTTATTTATGTGTATTAAGTTAACACCTGGAAATCCATCTGAGTTTCAGGGGATGTGGAGGCTTGCAGTGTATGGTTCCCACTGCCGCAGGTCAACATTTCCACTGAGCAGTGAGTATCCTCCAGGATTTGTCACTGTGTCCTCAACCCCCACTTCAAAAGGATTTTGGACTTTCATTTAGGCATTTTAGCTGTGAAGTGGTGCACTTTGAAGATTGCCTGGACATCAACATCCCAACGCTGCTTGTGTTTTTATAGCTGTTTGCATGCTATGCAGCCTCTTGCAAGGCAAGGAGGGAGCCAGGACCAGGCTGAGCAGGTTGCGGAGCGTAGACCATTTCTGTCCACCCTGTAAATGCCATAGGCAGCAGATTTGCTCCCTCAAATACAGCCAGTCTTCAAGCTACACTGCGTTCACAAGTCACATCTTGCAGCCTGCATGGCTGCAGATTGTTCCTTTTCACAATTTCCTCAAGCACTTCCTCTTGCTGAGTCTCTCATTCACCTCCTTCTCTTTTCCTCCCCATCGCTTGAGCTGCTTGGGCTGTTCCCCCACTTTTAGACTGTCCTACTGACATTTCCTCACCTTGTGAGTACTGATTGCTGCTGCTGCCTCTCACCTAGTGCCCTCCTACCCCATACACTGTCAGTATGACTCCTTAATTTTTCCCAGTACAGGGTTGTTTTTGTCAAAATAGGCTTGTTGATCCCTTAGAATGGCAAAAGGGCATCATAGCAAAATACAATCTGTTTTTCGTCTACCAGAAGAAAGGTAAGAATGATATCCCAAAAACATTAGCATTGCATAGCAGTGAGGAAAAGTGGTCATGAGAGACATCTCTTGAAATGGTGGCTGCAGTCTGACCATCACACTTCATGACACTCCTGTCTGTGTATTTGATGATGCTTTGGACAATGACTACAACCATTTTGTTTTGCTTTTTCCTTATGACTGGCTGTCTGTCCTTCCTACTCTCTTACTTTTAGGATTCAATTAATCACTGATTTCATTTTTATACTCATTGGGACCACGCTTTCTCTGGACTGGAGAGAAGAGAATGTTGTGAGTAGGATCCCTCACAGGGCAAGATAAGTTGGGATTTTAGGGTGTTGCTGCAGATGGCTGCAGGCCAAAGAGGCATATGAAAAAGATAGTTACCTCTACATCTCTGGAGTACAAATACACTGCTTGGAATGGGACAGGGAACATGCTTGGTTGAAATTATGCCAGATTTCTGCTTTATTATAGGTCTAACGTCCTGACTGTCAGAGCCACAGGTTGGCTAGTACTGCGTATAACAACTGGTCTCTTGGCAGAAACTAGGTAGCCTTCTCTTCCTCCTTAACTAATATGTGCATAAACATAATCACCAGAGGCCAATACCTGGGACATGGCAGAATTATGCATTTAATATACTAAAGTTATATGCCAGTGCCTGCAACCTATTAAGACAGGGTTGAGTAAAGGTACAAAGAACCATGCATGACTAAACAATAAGGAAGAGATGCCATTAGAAACAAGAAGGCAACCTTCAAAACACTGAAGTCATATTCAAATGAAGAAAATAGAAAAATTCATAAATCCTGACTGATAACATATAAAAATAAATTAGGCAGGAAAAAAAAAAAAAAGAGAACTGGGAGGAGCAACTTGCTAAAGATCTC